TTTCACGTATATGGAAAACAAATAAACGTGTGGATAAACAAGCAGGTTGAATTTTATTTAAAAATTGATCTCAATAGAACTATGTGGATATACAAGCAAATTAAAGTTGATTAAAAAAAAAAAATCTTACAGTCATATAAAATGGCCGTTTCACCCCATGCACACTGTCTTCATAAAAATATGGATCATCAATATGCCTCCAATAAAAGGCCTGTCAAACTGTCCTTCAGGGGAGAATGGCGTCCTTGGGGGAATAGGTTCACCAGGGCCTCTCTCAGGGGTGCCATACCAGGCTCTGTCAAGATGAGGCCTAGATGGACCAGCAACTGCAGCACCTTGTGCACCTGCATAGTGTCCACCCCTCAAAGGAATCATCCGTTCCCCTGCTTTGCAATAAAATAATTTTGAAAATACTTGAATGATTAGTAATAGTAATTAAAAAAAAAAAAAAAAAACAGCAGCATTGACTTCAAATCAATACACAACGAGGCCATTTGAAAACCATGGACAAATATTCCTTTTCCATTGCACAAAGCCACAAACAGTGAGATAAGTGATATTTATTATACTCCTAATATCAATATTTCACAGCGATTGTCCTTTTCTATTCCATTTTCCTTCCCATTTCGAAATGGCCCCTAACATTAAAAAAGTAACACAACAGCCACAATGATGACAACCAAGAACAGGAAAAATGATTCTTTATACCAAGTTGCCTCTGATGAAAATCTGGATAAGCATTATTCAGATTAAGATCATTACTGAAACCCATTCTTCCAATTGACCATATCCTCCATGATAAAAATTCCGATCCCTATTAAAATTTCCCCAGTTGACAGCATGTCCTCCACGAGCAAAACCCCTCCCTATTGCAGTTGCCATTAAACAAATGAGAACAAAGGGCAAAGGTGATCACAGTTTCCAATTAACAGGAATGACAAAACTTACCAGATCGTGGAAAAGCTCCACCCCGAGCATGACCAATTCGGAACCCACCACACATGCCTCCCTTGACAGCCTGTGTTTTAGGCAGAGGATTTGAAAGTCTAGCTCTCACTTTTATCTGACAAAAGTTGAAAATCATGAGCGCTCTTATTATCAAACTAAATGTAGCCTTCAAGCAAAAAAGGCAACGAACCCTTAAGCCCTCTTGTTCACCTCACTTGAAAGCCTAGTTCAAAGTGTCAGTTGGGTCTATACAAAATGACACTCAAGCAACTAATAAACCAAAGGCAATAAAAATTAAGCTTGAAATAGCAAGAAGGCAATAAAGAGAGAGGAACGGTGCTCAATCAATCAAGAGGGACCTCCCTTCATATTTTCTATTTCTTAAGAATGACGAATTTATATATTTATATAAAAATTTCACCAAAAAAAAGAGTCACCCTATCCACAAGCCATGAACAATATAGTTATCCATAGGCTTTATGCAAAACACGACTTACATTCTACTGTGAGTTATAGCACTCAAAAATTACCTGACCTAAGGAAAACTATCAACATAGTGCACGAAGCAAAGAAGAAACTGTGATATAATAATGAAAAATAATATGCAACCACACATCTAGATGATATACCTTTTCTTTTCCATCAACAAATTCTGAACTATTCACACCATCAACACAAGCTACAGCGGCTTCATGTGTAGAGAAATCAACAAATCCAAAGTCTTTCCTCTTAGCAGTAGTCATATTCCGGGCAAGCACAATTCGTACAATTTCACCATAACCTTTAAGGTGCTCCCTAATGCAGCCCTCGTCCCAGTGAGGAGGAAGACCATCAACGAAGACAGACTTCACCTGTGCCATGATCTCTGGATCCAGCTCTCGAGCAGGTTCAGCGAAGGCAACTTTGACAGTTCGATCAGCATGTCCAAAGACTACATCAGGCTTTTGAAGCCTCTTATAGGCAAGCATGGCATCATGATGACAGGAGAACTCAAGAAATGCAAAGCCCCGGCTTAATCCTTCACGGTGAACATCTGGGACGAGTGTAATGTTTTCAACACCCTCAACACCATAATCCTTCAACTTCTGTTTGATCTGGCATGCATATCTTACAGAGAATCGGTAAACAAGCCACAAAAATTAACGTATTCAAAAGAACAAACTGCTATCCACTTACCGCTTCTTTTGTCCATGTATTGCATATATTTCCTAAGAATAATGTGTCATTATCCTCACTGGGTGCAATGCCACATCGCTTACCACATATCTGAAGAACAATGACAGGTTAGAGACAAAGCAAAAAAGGAAGAGAAGAAAAAGTGGGAAGACAAAGGAATTATTAAAAAGAAAGTGATAAACATACAATAGGACTTTTGATTTCTGACAAAGCTTTCTTTGCATGCTCCTTGCAAGAAAATTTTACAAATGCATAGCCCTTATTTTTGTTTGTTGAAGAATCTTTATGCAACCTGACTTCAACTATCTCCCCAATCTTCTCAAAAACCTTTTTAAGATCTTCCTCTGTAGCATCACGATCAAGCCCACCAACAAATATTTCATTCTCTTTCTTAATCTTGCGCTCCTTCGCCATAGTTGACAATTCCTTGCGTTCCTCATCCAATGTCTCAGCTTCTTCAAGAGGCTCCCCTCGATCAGCCTCAAGCTCCTTCCCCCCTTGTTCTTCACGATTCAGCCTTTCCTCAGAACCCTTGCCACCTTGATCACCACTTGGGTTCTCCTTTCCAGGTTTAACATCATCTTGCAGAAATTGGTTTGTCATTTCCTTCTCAACAGAATCAGTATTAGATTCCTGGTTATGTATAATATTACTTGTCTCCTCTTGCATGGATTTCTCTAATGCCCCTTCTCCCTCCTTTTCCATTGATTTTTCTGATTCTTTTTCTCCATCCTCTTCCTTCACTTGCTCTCTTTGGTCTTTTATTTCCATGCTGACAGAATCAGAATCACATAGCTCTTTAATTCCACTACAAGTTGTCTGTTCATTCATTGATTTTTCTGATGCTTTTTCCCCATCCTCTTCATTTGTTTGTTCTCCTTCTTTTGCACTAGTGGGTTCTTCATTCTCCAGAGATTCAGAGTGCTCCATCATGGTAGGTTCTTCTTGATTCAATAAAAAAGGGACACCTTGGGAGGCAGATACAACGTCTTCAACTATGTCTCTTCTCTTTTCTTCTAACTCACAAGCACTATCAGCATTACACTCATCCCCTACTTTGGGATGTTGTTCATTCCCTGCAGATTGTCTAACAAACTCAACACCTTGTTCGTCCACTTCCTTATTTTCAATTTCATCTGCTTTGACTACATTAACATTTAAAGGCTCCTCCAATTTCTCAGCTACTTCAACATCATCCATTTTCGGTGTTTCATCAGTTATTGCCTCCACTTGTTCTTCTTGTTCCCGGGTAGTAATGGCTTTAGTTGAATTCCTAGGCCTTCCCACTGCTCTCTTTGGCGTCCTCTTTGGTGCTGACTTTGCAACTGTAACAACTTTTGTCTCTGGTGTCACCTGAGAAGCATCAGCCTCTGCTTTTGCCTCATCTGTCAAATGTTGAGGGAATAAAATAAAAATCAACAAATTTCAACAATACATAGAAATCGGATTTTACACTGATAAATTAAAGAATGAAAACTAGGTAAGATAAAAAGACTTCGGGAAAAAAACACTTTAATTGTTGTTTGAAGAGTGATGGCCATACTGACTTATCATACAGATGGGGTAAATCGGTTCTCCAATATTATGCCCCTGTTATGTCATATGAATATCCCAAAAATGAAGAACGCGGGAAAGAGTGTGGACAACTTGAATAGTAATAACGTCGAAAAATTTGCTAAAAGTGAATACTTACAATCCAAATAAATACTGATAAACCAGTAACATGTAATCTTCCAACTCGAAGCACAGAATCGGCAGACACGCAAATTACACTCCTTATATTTGACTAAGTCTGAATAATTTTGCGGCTTTTCATTTCATAACGATAACTCTAACTCACAAATAACTTTTGAGAATTCACACACATAAAAAAATTGTCAACAAAATATTGGGGGAAGAAAAGTTTTACCAGATAATAGCTCCGGTTCCTCATCAACGCTTGTGTTTTGTAAGGGCGAGGCCTCGTTCTTCTTGGCCTGCCTAGTTTTGATCGTAGAGGTGCGCTTGGTCTGAGGGGATTGTGCGTTCGCCGGGCTTTTAGATGCGGATTTCCTCGTCGGCGGTGTCTTCTTAGCCGCCGCTGTTTTAGAAGAACCAGCGTTCCTAGTTCGCATGATGACTCGTCGCTATAGAAGCAGGGGAAATTATGCCCAGCGCGAAGGCGGTGATTTGCTGATTTCAGATGGTGAGGCTCCGGAATCCCAATATTTTCTGCCGGGAAGTACAATGATGGATTGATTGGATTCTCAGCTGCTGATGAACACTGTTACCTCTAATAATGCCCCAAATATATCCACGCACAAGTACGTCTTTGCATTTAAGCGAGATTATGCATCGCCGAGATTAGACAGAGGTGAAAATCCTTTCTAAACATGTTTTACGGGAGTGTTTGGATAGAAATCAAATCATAGTTTCAGAAGTACTTTTACGGATTACGAAATAAATATGTGGAGGAGGTTATTTCGTTTTGTGAAAAAATGATTCTGAAACCTTAGTTTTGGTTTTGCCAAACACCTCCTACGTCAGAGTTGAGATAAAACTATTATTCGTATTGCACAAATTATTGTTAAAAAGTATTATCTCCCATTTTAATTATAAGAGCCAGTTAACTAATTTAAAGAGATTAAGAAAGTAAGTTGAGTTAGTTATTTATCTTAAATATGTGTTGTCTTTCCTAAAATATCCTTGCTAATCAATTATATTGACTAGAACTATCATTGTTAGAAGGGTTACTTTAGAAAAAAAATTGTATGAATATGAGATAGAAAGTCGATTGAAATCTTATATTTAAGACTAAAATAAAAATCAAATATGATCTTATATTTAGAACTGGAAGTAGTAGTTTATAAATAACTTATAAACTGGTCCGATAGCAGGTAAAAAATAAAATGGTAAAAATAGTTCGGCCGAAAAAAGAGTAACAGTAGGTGTAGGCGGAGAATTGACGCTAGCTGTATTAGATTTATTTTATATATTTAATAGTTTTTAATTAATTTTATTAATATTTTTTTACTAATAAGAAGAGGAAAGGAGAAAATTAAAAAAATAATTAAAATGTTTTAAAAATATTTTTAATTTATTTAAATTAGTTAATGAGACTTACGAGTATTTATCTTTCATTAATTCTTTCAGCAAAAAAGAACTATCTTTCATTAATTTTCATTAAATTAATTATTTAATTTAATATTTACAATTAAATCTCTCGTTTTTTTTTTTTTTGGAAAAGATAACAATTTCTCCCTCGATGACACCTTGGAACATCGATATGCTCCCATTCGCCATTCAGGTATTCTGTTGAAGCAGTTAGCAGCCGCGCTTCCGATGACGAAGTGAAAGTGGAACCCGCAGAAGAGGGCATGAGCATATCCTCATAGTGCACCCCCATATCTCATCCCCTTATTACCCGATATCAGTGAGAGGCAGGCTCTGATTTCGACTTCCACTCCTATAAGTATTGGTTATGGGCGCTTCAGAATCTACCTTCTCAGGCTCCCAGGTTGAACTGTTTCAAGCCCACCATTTCACTATGATTTTGGATTTCAAGATTCTATTTCTGCTTAAGTTGTTAATTGCTCGCTTGTTTTCTTCCCTTTCCTGTATTCGCTCTCTCAATTTATAATGGTTGCAGCAGAGGGCAGATGACAAAATCACTACCGTATCAGAGCGATCGGAGGCCGCGGACCCCATTTTGGAGAAGCTCAAGTCGCTCAAAATTGTAAATTCTAATTTCGTTCTTTTTCTTTCTCTGTTTTATCGAGAAAATGAATATTCATTCTCTAGAGGGCTCATGCTTGGTTATATTTCTAGGTAAGATTTCAACTTGCGGATTCCTGACTCTTACTTTCGCTTCTTGTGTTGAGTTGCAGACATCCCCCATATTGACGTCTGCCCCGGCAGAGAGTAGCTTAACTGATATTTTACTGAGGAAGCCTTCGTCATCGTCGGTTCCAGGCAGGTCCTCATAGCTCAACTGCTCAAGGCTCCCCCCCCCCCACCCCAAAACACACACACACACACACAAAACCGGCTTCAAAAACCAAAAAAGAATAAATAGATAAAAAGATCGTATTTGCAATGGAGTGCTTATTGCTAGAACTCATGGCCTTATTGGGTGCTCATCCTGGGTCAGGCTTGTGTAAATTGGACGCAAATTCTTGCCAAGATAATTAGCAAAGATGTTCAAAGATTAATATGCGCCCTGGGAGATGAGTGTTAATTGCTATAGCTGGATTCTTGGTACACGGAGGATGCTTATCTTTTGTATCTTCTTGTACAGTTTGTTTTTCTTGTGATTAACGAAATATGCTTTGCCTTTTACATTCTCTGGTACCATTGGTTTTAGTTCAAATTAATTTAGTTGTGAATTACCCACTTCATACATTTGTTAATCTTCTGACTTCTTAGAGTTCCTTAATAGTTGCATGAGCCCGGAAATTGATACAAGAGTAGAAGACACAAGCTTTAAATTATACTGATAACAAATTTAGGAAAGATACTTTACTGTCTTGGCAATTCCCCTATCATATTTCGGAAGTAGGAAAAGAAAGCATGGATTTGTCATGTTACATCCAGACATTGAAGTTTGCGGGGATTGCTTGTCCTTTACTTTTAAATGTGAAAGAGGATTAACGCACTCTAAGTTAGGGAACGAAGATGACATCACAGGCTTTAAACTTGTCTGGTTATTCCCACTCACTGAAGGCCAGAAGACATCTATAACTCCTCTGCGGACAGATAAACTTTTGTTTGGTGTTATTACCATGTATTAATGTAATAGGTTCCTTTTCTATTTTTCTTATCTGCCTAATATTGTTTACTTCAGTTTCAAAAGCATTCTATTTCACACACTTCAGGTTTTCCAGCCACATCTATTACCCTACAGATTGATGTCGGCACCTTCTGCTATCTGATACTATTACCATTAACTGTTCAATTGAGACAAATCTTAATTGCTTGCATTTCCGGGTTGAAACAGCTATTGTAAATCCGAAGATCCTACTGGATCTCTTCTCAATGTACCGTGATTGGCAGGAAGACAAAGCTCAAAAGATAAGCAAAAGACAGGTCTGTCGATCACAATAGTTTGGCAGATTCAATTAGTTTTGGATTCAATTTCTTACCAAACATCCTTCCCAAAAGCTAAAAAGAAGATCATAAAGGAAAAGAATTAAATATTTTTATCTAGATTTGAAATTTACCTGATGTTTAATATGGATTTTTGTTTAAAATAGTTTCACCACAACGAATAAAAAATAGTACTTCATGACAAGCAATGAAAGGAAATTATATTTGATAACTGACTGTTTTATCGTAATACATTGTGTTTCTTTTTTCTTTCTATTTTTTGAGTATCATATGGTAATTGGTAATGCATAATTGCATACATATTTTCCCATACATTGCATGGGGTTTAAGATATATGAATGATATGGCTTGCTGTAGATATTTTGCGTTTTGTGTTGATATTGATTATTGGAATGATGACGCTAAGGAGAACAATGAATGAAATTATCAGTGGCTGGTAAAGTATTTCTAGACCTCAAATTTACTCTCTAGACCGTTCTCTTATTGAATAGTGCAGGCTTAACATCTATGACGTTAATAGTCCTACCTGGCTTTTCTGTGTGCATAAATATAGAGTTCAGCTTTAGTAGAATTCTTATACAACGCCAACTGGCCTAATTCGCCCTTCACTTCGTGCTGAACCTGAAATTGTTTATCTTTCTAATCATTTTAATATGTAAACATTGTTTATGAGTGTTAGTTAGAAAGATTTATCAATCATCAATTCAATTTCTTTGGCCCAAGGTCCTGAATCTTGGAATTTCAATCAGAGAATCCCTTGAATTTTAGTTTACTTGCAAGTAACTCCTTCAACTTTTGAAGCTAATCTCCCTCCCTCCCTCTCTTCCTTCCCAATCAAACTCTTTAAACCCCAAGAAATAGGTCATTTTGTCTATTTTCCCCTTAGTGACGCAAATCTTAAACACCGTGTCAATTTTCCTGTATTTAGCGTGTTGGCATTAGGGATAAATGGGAACTAGCCTATTAACTTTGGAGAAGTCCGACTTGGCATTTGAGTTACTACTGTTTAGAGAAAGAAATCCAGTTTTAAAACTTGAGGGACCGATTTTCTTGTTTTGAATGCAAGGGAGGCCTTTTGAATCATCACCAACAATAAACTAATCAGTTATATAGTATGATTAGTGCATTTTGGTAGCCATGCTATTTGGAAAGTTTAAGAAGTTATGTCAGAACCAGAAATTCTTATCTTGGATTGAGGCTCCAATAATTTTTATGCTGATGTTAATGTTTTTTAACCACTCGTTACCCGCTGTCATTGTTTGTATCAATTGGAAGACATTATTATCACGTTGGAAAAATTGGCATGTAAATGCTATGACACCGTCTCATGCAAGCCAGCAAGACTAATGAAGATTCTTGCAGGAGGAGATAGAAAATAAAATAGAAGTTGCAGATGCTTTGGCAGTTAAACTTCTTCAGCGATTTAACCACTCAGTATCTACAATGAAGACCGCTTCACAACACCTATCTGAAGGTAATTGATCAATCAACATCTAGTATTATGGAGAATACTGGGCTGCATGACATCAAAGTAACACATTATGCTTCAGAATCCATTGAATGAAAAGAAAAACTGCCGCTCAATTATGTTTTTCATGGAGCTTTTGGTAGCCGACTCATATAAAATTAGATTCATCTGCATTTCCGTCATAATGTTTACATGTGCTGGTTGCACTGATTAATTGGCCAGTCTACCCTTTGCCTGACACTGCTGGTCTTTTACCATTGCGTGTCAAAATCTTTGAACTTCCTTCACAACATTCATGCTCGTATGAGTTGAAGAATCGCACTGAATGGCAAAATCTTAAACTCATCTGCGTGTCTGTTATAGTATACTGTTTACACGGTATGGGTGAAGAACTAATTAACTGTGACTGACATTATATGAGTTCTGCTTACCACTGCAAGCGAAGAGATTATAACTTTTGTATTGGAACTCGTGTGCAGTACATGCATTGCAGGTGGAAATTGGAGAGCTTAAAGGACGGTTGACTGAAGTTATCAGTAATTGTGATGCTCTGTGCAAAAGAATTACAGCAGAAGGCCCAGAATCTCTCAGATCATCTATTAAGCCTTTTACAATTACTAAAACTGACCAAGAAATCTTATCCAACTCACCTAATTTGCAGACAGGTTTGATTAGAAATCCACCTTCAGAAGAATAGTTTGACTGCCGCGTTTGCTTCCTGTATACGTCAGAGGATTTCCACGTTCTTGTTGAACTTGGGGTTTCCCTTCCATATCTGACTTGAATGGTTGGATAAGATGTTTGGCTAAATTGCTAAAAGCCTTGTTTTGGATGAACGGCATGAAATTTGCTATTAGTTTAGAACTTGAGATACAAGTCCGTGGCACGCTCGATCCATGTTGCCATGCTTCTGCATAAGGGAGCTTTGCTGCCGCACCGACTCCTTATTTGTTGTGTAAGTACAAAACGGCAAGAGACCATGTCGCCTTTTGATTCGACATGTCACATGTAACCAGATGTAGAGTGATTATTTCATATTGCAGATTTCTTTTTCCCAGCTAGATCATAATTTAGTTTACCAACATTTCATTTGCAAGAGTGATAGAAAATTTTAGTAATTTTCCTTGAAGTTCGGTTAAATGATATCGAATCATTTGTTTTTTAAACACGAGTTAAAGGGCATTTTTGCCCTTCAACTATTCACAAAGTTGCATCTGGTTTCCGAAACTCTTATGTGGAGTAATATTCCCCTTAAAATAATTAAAATCATCCTCTTAATTTATCTTGCCTAATTTTTATTTTTTTCCTTTTTCGATGACACATGTGAGGGTAATATTGCTTCACACAACAGTTTAGAATATCAAACGCCCCTCCGCCAACGGTTGAATGATAAAAATGTCCTCTAACTTTTTAAACAATTATGTCTGACTTTTCTTATTCAATGTTCTGTCACTAAGATTGATATATTGCAATATATCTTTCTTTTAACGATAAAATTAATTAGATTTTTTCTATGCTATGAAAAAAGAATTATTAACATGTAAGTTCAATTAATTTGTCCCCTTTATCCTTATATTTAGAATAAAATTATAGGTAATTGTTGTTCAAGAATTTTATTTTTTTGGTGTACAGAAAATTAAAGATAATTTGAACAACGTATAATAAAATATTGAGACAGCTGAATGTTCGTTAAAAATTAAATAAAATTAAATTTAATATGGAAAAAATTTTGCATCATGCACTTTGTAAGAGTGGGGGAAAAACTCAGCACCTTTTATCCTACACAAACGGAATTGAGCGCACTCAAAAAAGTACAGAAACGGAATTGAGGAAATAAAACATAAAAAACCAAATTATGTCATAGTTTCTTTTATTAAGTGACATGTATGTATTTATCATCATTATACGTGCATGTCTTATTATCCTTTTATTACATTTTTGACATGGATATAAGCATTGTTTTCATTCCCCATCCTTCGTCATTCATTTTCTTTTTTATATATACATAGTTAATAAATTTGCTTGACACATATTCATATTTTCTAAAACTTGAATCTTTTATACCAATCAATTCAGGGTGCTCAATTCCCATACTAATCAATTGATGGTTCCCAATTTTCAGCACAAAGTGATAGTGCTTGTGATGATCTGCGAGCAATCTGGTTGCTTCGATTGTTGCATGAATTGATGAGGATGACGGCTAAGCTGCGGATATACGGGACCTGAACCAACTTGCCTTTCCTGTGAGTTGTGACCGGGGCCACGCCAATATTCCTGCTCTGACATTTGAGGTTGCTGTTATCATATTTTTTTCCATCCTCCACAAGTAAAAGCATTTTCTTATCGCTCACGAAGATTAAATTTAATGTGTGTGTGTGTGTACATGGTTGAAAAGGCACTGTTCCTGAGAGAAGATGGAGAACACACTAGCGATCAAGAACCAATTGAAGAAAAGTAAACAAAACAACAAAGAGCTAATTTCTTTTTCTTGCGATAACGGATGAACTGACATTGAGAAAATGGGATTATAATTTGGATAATCCATACTGTGAGAGGAAGTTGAACAAAAGAAAATCACTCAGCCGATCAAACTGTCATCTATGGTAAATCATTCAAAGAACTGCATTGTATATCTTAAAAAGTCTAAAACCTATCATAGGCTGAACTTCTAAGAAGCATTTTGTCTAAAACCATATGAGAAAAGGTTGAATTCCCATTACTACAGATCAAGGTTGCTGCTGAGCATCCAAGTAACCAGCATCAACAAGCACCTTCTCCCTCTTGGCCAATTCAATGTCCTCGTCCACCATCATCTTTACCAATTGCTCAAATCCCACCCGAGGCTTCCACCCAAGCACTTTCCTAGCTTTGCTTGAGTCTCCCTTGAGATTGTCAACCTCCGCAGGCCTGAAGTACCTCTTGTCAATCTCCACATGATCCCTCCAATTCAAACTCACGTAGCCAAATGCAACCTCCAAGAACTCCTCCACCGTGTGGGATTCCTCCGTGGCCACAACGTAATCGTCCGCCTTATCCTGCTGCAGCATCATCCACATAGCCTCCACATAATCCCCAGCAAAGCCCCAATCCCTCGAAGCCTGCAAATTCCCTAAGAACAATTTGCGCTGCAAGCCTATCTTGATCCGACCCACAGCACGCGTGATCTTCCGGGTCACGAAATTCTCACCTCGCCTCGGCGATTCGTGGTTGAAGAGTATCCCATTGCAGGCAAAAAGCCCATAAGCCTCGCGATAATTGACGGTGTACCAATGCGCGGCGCATTTCGACGCTGCATAAGGAGACCGAGGATGAAATGGGGAAGTCTCCGACTGCGGAGGTGGGGTGGAACCGAACATTTCGGATGATCCGGCCTGGTAATAGCGAATATGGCTACGACCGGTGGCGGCGATGTGAGATCGAACAGCCTCCAAGAGTCGGAGCGCACCAGTGGCGACAACATCGGCGGTGTAATCGGGGATCTCGAAGGAAACGGCGACATGCGACTGGGCAGCGAGATTGTAAACCTCGTCGGGGAGGATTGTGTCGAGCCATCGACGGAGGGAAGAGGCATCTGTGAGATCGGCATAATGAAGCTTCATTCGTGCCTTGTGGGTGTTGTGGGGATCGATGTAGATGTGATTGATTCGTTGGGTGTTGAAGTTAGAGGATCGGCGAATAAGGCCATGGACTTCGTAGCCTTTGTTGAGGAGGAATTCAGTGAGGTAGGAACCATCTTGACCGGTGATGCCGGTGATCAATGCTACCTTGCGCGGAGGAGAAACGTCGCCATTAGCGGCTGCGGGAGAAGATCCAGATCCACATCCAGCGGACTTGTTCTGGGACGCCATGAGAGTTGCGACAGTTTTGAATTGGCGCGTCGACGGCTCAAAGCAGCGGCAGAGGCCGAGAAAATGAAGGTCACAATGAATTGATGAGGAGAGACCGAAAGGATCGAATTAATATAACGAGTGAGGAACGGCGACGTCACGCGCTTTTATGATTTCGTGGGCTTCGCTGGTAAATTAAAAAACAAAAAAAATCCAACGCCGTTGATGACATTAAAATTTTCTTATTTAAAAATTATAAACTTGAAAAATTAAAAGAAATAAAAACCTATACTCTTTTAATTTTATTTATAGGTTCTTTTAATATGTTTCACACAAATAAAAAATTTTAAATTTTATTAACTTTCATTTAAAATTCAACAGTTTTCTAATTTTATATCTATTTAAATATATTATTTCACATATAAACAAAGTTAACACAATAATAAATGAAAAATAAAAATTATATATCTATATAAAAAATTTCTCTAAATATCATATAAATAAGATCAAAAAATATATTCTCTCTACCCTATAAATAAGATCAGAGAAGTGTTTTTTTAAGACTGACAGTAAAAAAAATGTTTTTACGCGAACTTCCCTTGAAAAATAACATATGGATGATTGCTTGATTGGTGGTCCATTAAAACTTGTTAAAATCTACTCCTCTATATGTGAATAGATTAAAAATATTAGTTAAATTAATTAATATGAATTTTTTAAAATATTCCAGTAATCTTACCTAATTTACTTTTTCTCTCTTCTACTTAATGATTATTGAGAAATATTAATATGATTAATTTTAAAAAATTAATAAATACATAAAATAAATTTTATACTGTTCTAAATATAAGACCCTTATACGTGTATAAGGGTTTTATATTTGAGACCGGAAAAGTATATAACTAACATTAATTCAAAAACTGAAAGAGTATTATACTACTTCTAATTTTAATTATAGAATTTTATTATTAGAACCAGAAGTAGTATAAAAAAGGATAAAATAAAAGAATGGCATTGGCAAAAATTTTGTCCCGATCTACGTAGTAATGGAATTCGCCTGAGAGGTCGACTGGAAGCTGACGGGAGTGTCGGTGCGTGACTACCTCCCCCTTGCGGAAATAGATCTGTTTGCAGTGACGAGGGAGCTAAAAAAAAAAGAGCATATTACAATAAAAAAAATACCTCCTGTATAAAAATTTGACCAATTCAAATAGATTAAAAAATTAATTAAATTAATTATTTGTTAAATATTTTTGGGAAAATATATATGCAGGTCCTTGTAGTTTTATCCCATTTTTAATTAGGTCCCTTAACTTTTTTTTCTTTTTATTGAATCCTTACTATTTGTTCAGTTTGTGACGTTAGTCCTTCCCGTTAATTTAGGACTAACAGTGCTATGACACCGTTTATTTGCAGGGAGGTCGCTGATGGCTCTGCTTACGGGGCACAATATTTGGAAAAAAAAACAAAGCAAACGATCTAGTTCCACACAACGCAGATTCGTGAGGAAGGGGGAAGAGAAGGTCGTCGATTGGTCGCCAAACTCACTGGCTTCTCGCAATCGAATAGGTAAGTGATCTCGTTCTTCTTCCTCTTGTGGGCTTTTGATTCTTTAAATTAGATTCTTCTCATTCTTTAATTGACCAGCAAAAAATATTCTTCTCATTCTTTGAAAACGCTTTCTCGGCACTTAAGCAAGAGACATAAATAGATTCGAGTTGCTCAAAGTTTTGATTGGCGTTGGACAGGAGGATTGCATCAGAGTGATAGTTTTGAATGTGTAATGTGCTTTGTTTTGCTGTGTAGGAAGCTTGATGCTTGGCTCTTGATAATTTAAGTGCAAGATCAGTGAGCTTGGTTGCTGATAATTTAAGCACAAGTGCTTTTTAGTATTTTTATCTTACTCATACAGGTAGGAAACTGGGTAAAGCTGCAACATATATGTCCAGTTAATCACGTCTCTATGGTAAAAAAGAAGCAATAAATGATCTCGAAAAAAACAGAAAGAAAACTATCACGACCTTCAAATCAAACCCAAGCAAGCATCAATCGATTAAATAGCAATAGATCCCCACATTCATTTTGAGACATTTTTTTATCTACACAGGAAGAGTAAGAAGAGTCAGAAGCAATACCAAATCTGATACAATCCTATCGTCTGATCCCGACCAAAACTTTGAGCAACACAAATGTACTTAGCCCTTTTGATTAAGCACTCAGAAAGTGTGTTCAAAGAATGAGAAGAATCCAAATTTGAAGAATCAAAAGCCAATGAGAGGAAGAAGAACCAGATCCCTTACCTATTTGATGGCGAGTTCAAAGAATGAGAAGTAAAAGAGTGTGACGACAAGTCAACGACCTTCTCTCCTCATTCTTCACTACAGCAAATCGTCGATGTTCTCTTTCTCCTTCCTCACAATGGCGATCCAGGTCGATGCATATACGTCAAACGCCCGGCAAACAGAGTAATATCAGCCACCTCCCCCCAAATAAACACTTCAGGGCTCTGTTAGTCTTAAATTAACAGTAAGGATTAACGTCACAAACGGTTAAAACAATAAGGATTTAAAAAAAAAGAAAAAAAGCTCAGGGATCTAATTAAAAATTGTGTGAAACTATAAGGACCTGCAGATATATTTTCCCAATATTTTTATTAATTATATGTATTAGCTGGAAGTCTTGAACTATCATTTGATGAAATATATAGAACTATTATAAGAATTATCTTAAAAAAATAGATAAATACAGAGTGGATTGAGTCTTATATTTATAACCAAATCAAATATCAAACTAACTTTTATATTAAGAACTAAAAGTAATATATTAATGATTTAATAATTCTGTTTTTACCTGATTGGTAGTTTGTAATTATTTGAAATTTATTGATTGATTAATTAATAGCGCATCTGTCGGCAAACAAAATTAATGAATAGCGCATCATACTCTGTTTTTTATTGATTTGTTGTTTTATTATAATTAAACGGAAACAGCAATTATGAGTTCATGTTTACACGAAATTCAGGACCAATGACATTACTCTTGACGTGTGAATTCTTATGACATGAATCTATATAGTGTTCTGATTCTATTTATAAATCATTTTTAATATATTTTATACAGGTCAAGAAAAATCTTAAATTTTATTAACTTTTATTTAAAATTAAACAATTTTTTAATTTTATTCCTATTTAATATACATTATACTTTATATAAACAAAATCAATACAATAATAAATGAATGGGAAAATTATACATGCATATAAAAAAATCTTCTCAATGCCTTGTAAATAGGACAAAAAAATCTTCTCTCTCTATTCTATAAATAAGACAAGAGGAGTATTGATCACACATTTTATATTACTACCTCATGTTCTTAATATAAAAATTTGTTTGATTTTTATTTTGGTTTTAAATATAAAATCAATCTATTTTATCTCTCATGTTTAATCAAGATAACCCTTATAATAATGATAATTCTAGCCATAATTAACAAGAATATTTTAGGAAAGATAATACTTATTTATTACAAATAACTAGCTTAACTATTTTTCTTAATCTACCTAAATTAGTCAATTAACTCTTAATAGGACTAAATGTAGTATGTCATCATCTCCTGTCCTTAACATCAAATCTGGTTAACTAATTTAGGAATATTAGAAAAATTAGTTAAATCAGTTATTTATAATAAATAGGTGTTATCCTTCATAGAATACCTTTACTGATCATATGTATTAGCTAAAACTGTTATTTAATAGAACTTTTAACATATGTAACTATTATAATTTACAGTAGCTGCTTTAGAAAAAACTGATAGATGTGAAAAACAAGTCGAATTTGGGTCTTATATTTATGATCAAATTAAAAGCTAAACTAAATCTTATATTAATGATGGGGTAGTATAATATAATATTGGCCATACCATATTAAATAACTGAAAACATTTATATTAATGATTCTTTCGCAATAATAATAAAAAAGCATTTAAATGACTCTAATGATCCTTGATCAATCAACCTTTTCAAAAGATTTGGATGTGCACTTTCGTTTTATCCCCATGAGGACACGAGTTGAAAGCCTTTTATCCAGTACAGATGAATTCTTTTTTCCTTTTTTGGCGAAGAAATTTTATAAAAAAAGGATGGGCTCACCCCCAATTCAAGAATAAGGCAATTAACCACTGAACCTGACTTTACCCAAGTATGTTTTTATGATAATGGAAAGAGTTTCATGCGAGCGATCATTACATGTTACGAGTCAAAATCTTAACTTCAGCGATGCCTCTCTTAACACCATAGCATGTTATAGGGTCAAACTCGCTCTCGTAGTATACATGTCCAGCCTCTTTGTTGGTTGAACCCACAGCAGTACACATGGATTTTTGATAATGCATCTTCCATGCTTATACCACACAGCATCCCTTAAATTATTTTTTAGTGATTAAGGGGGTGTTTGGCAATATCCAAACTATAGTTTCAGAAGCACTTTTTTCACAAAATAAGACAAACTCCTCCACGTATTTATTTCGTAAACTGTATAAGCACTTCTGAAATTATGGTTTGGTTTCTATCTAAACATCCCTTAAGTGTCCATGATTAAGAGCTCTACTCATGAGTCATGACACTGCACGCACGTCAAAACGAAGGGAATAAAATATTATCCTCGCCCCTCATCCCATTAACTTCTCTTGTTCTTACATTTCCACAACAAAACACAGTTTGGCTTCCTTAACAATCTCCGCGATGAGAGGATGGTTATCGTTCAACGAATGATCACAACTTGGAAGGTTTTAACAAATTTTGTAAAATCTTCAAATTTCCAACCTCTAGTTCTAAAATAGTTGTCTTTATTTTCCAAGGTTCATTTTTATTCCAAATATAAGATGAAATAATAAAAAATAATTAAACTTTGAAAACATCAGTTAAATGGAAAGGGGAAAAAACCATGGATCCCATCAATCTTCCCCCGGATGCATCCCCCAGAACAAACTCCAAAAATAATTAGAAAATCACCACAGCGAAACTATAGTTTTCTTTTCGGATAAAAACATGATGTTTGTTTTGTAAAATATTTTTTTGGTTACACATAGGTCTCCTCTTATTAAATATGATTACATTTAAGGCGTCGAAGGATATTGAATATAAATACCTTTCTTAGTAGATATTCGAACTCTATTGCTCGCAAAACGTTTTTTTTTTTGTTGAATACAAATTATCCATCGTTAGTAGTAATGACTAATCTTCATGCATTATAGACTTCTCAAAAGAGATTTATTGTTGGCTACGAGACTCTTTCCATATACACCGTCAAAGATTAAATCCCTAACTAAATGTTTAGAAAAACTAGCGCACAGGCAAAACAAAGTAACAAACAAAGATATTTTAGCCTTCAAGGTCGCCTCTAAAGCCCTTTTTGGGCCAAAAAGCCCATTCTAATAATATATTAAAACTTTAAAGCCCAATTTTAGCAACGCTGCCCAATTTTAACATTTCTTTTGGGGAGGATTCATATGATTATATGCGGAGTTTTAAAGTGATCTATTGTTAACAAGATGATTAAAATTATAACTAACTAATCACCTATACAATGGATAATTTGAAATAAAGAAGAGAGAGATAGATTTTTTAATTTAAAAGAAATTATCATCTTATCATAAAACGAGTGGGTATATCTTATTACTTGAGCTGGCTCATATAACAGGAATCTAAATAACATTTGAGTAAGAATCCAAGTTCAAATAATTTTAATGTATTTTTTCAAAAGAATTTGTCTAATATTTTATCCTTTGATCAATTTATTAGTTTTTTGAAAAACATATCTAAAATAAATAATGATACTCTGAACGTAACCACAAAGCAATTTATTTTCTTGACGCTGGCCAAAAATTGCTGTGTCAATAATTTAGTTTGGGGAAATGCCTCCAGGCTCCAGCTGTGTGGATAAAAGAGGGGCGGGATCATAAACAATATGTGGGCCAGAGGCCCTACCAGGACAGAGTAGGGCACGCACGCGCAACCACTACCGTATTGGTCAGTGTTTGCGTCGATGTGCTGTCACTGCGTGCCTCAGATCCACAAGCCCTACCTGCTTTTTCCTATTTCTACGCCTCCACCCCGAAACTTCTAGCTGCTTTCGAAATATCTCCCTCACGCCTCTTCTTTATAACTCCTCTGGTCTGCTTTTCCCACCGAAACAAACACATCCTCGGCACGACGGATTCTTTTGTTCTTTGTTTCGATTTTTTCATATTTTTGTGATCTTCTGCCCCTGTCCTTTCATTCTCGCCGCCGATTAGGATATCCGACTGATTCGATTGCAAATCTGATTGTTTTTGTTTGATCCTCCTCCCTTTTTTGATTTGTTGGCCTTAAAGTGTTAATTGAAGCAGAAAATCTGAGATTTAATATGAAGCGGGCAAGGAAATCGAAGAGGGTTTCGTGGGCTCCTGGATTTAATCTGTGTCAGGTATATATGACTGCAACATTCTTTTTCAAAATTTCGTTCGTTAGGGCAAATTTTTAGTTTTTCAATTTGTTGGTTGATTCGTGACCGTTAGGTTTCTATGACGGTCGATCTATTCCAATTTGTTCTTCTTTTTGATTCTCCCCCTCACATCACAGAATCTCTCCTTTTTCCTAATTTTCTCATATTGGTGCTTGTCAATTTGGATTGGTTGCTACCGACGGAACAGGGCATTCCGCTGACGTAGAAATAATAAAACAAAAAGACTCTACCAAAGGAGATCATCTACTGAAAAATTTAATGCAACGTATCATTCCTTATAAATTTATTTCACCAAAGATAAAAGTTTCGTGTTGTGGTAAAATTTCAATACAGCGCAATTCATCGATCAAAAGGTGGAAGTAAGATTGTATCGAACAAGAAGCTTTGATTTAGAATATCTTCTAGATCGAAGGGCAAAGGTATAATGTGCCTTTTCTTTTGGGTACTCATGTTTATTTTACTTCTACGAGAGATAAAATCAAGCAAGTTGTTGAAGATATTAGGCGCTGGGCAGCCAATTTTAATAATCAAGGCATAAGTGGGTTGTACACCCCTACGATTGCCGTTGGTCCGGGTAATTAAAAGCACGGTAGGGAGGTTTTTTTTTTGGACTGAAGATCATTAAGTTTCATTTGATAGATTTCGTCATTCTACTCCCAGAAGCTCCAACCCGCCAAGAGAAATCTTTTTCCCTTGATAACGAGGAAATAATTAATTCGACTTCATATATCATATATTGATAATGCTATCATGAACTACCTATAATTGTACTAAATATTTAACGACTCTGAAGATTCAACTCTTTTAAGAAGGTCGTCTACAAGGCGTGCTATGTACTTGAACAGAGTCGCAGTGTTCAACTTGCAACAAATGAGAAAAAGGGGGGGGGTGTTAGACCTGGCAATGTTTGAAAATCTAATTTGTTGCTGTTATGTTAAGCATTGAATCTGTTTCTCTATTGCGGGATATGGATTCAATTTCTCATGGGCTATTATAAAAAAGATGTCGTTACAAAATAATGACAAGCTTGTTAAAAATTTTCTATCATATTTGTCTATCATTTGGAAACAGAAAGCAGATATAAAAGATGACAAGATTATAGACCCAAACTATTACCTCGAGCGTTTTTACTATATGTTGTTCGGGCAGCCTTGCTGAGACATGTTTAATGGGTTGTACTGCAGCAGAGGTTATTTCCTCACATGATCTAATATCACTATGATAGAGGGAGACTCAGTAATGAAACCTAGAGCATGCTCGCAGTGATGGGAATTTTGAACTCATCAATGTGTGCATGAGCCGATGGATTTATCAAATTAATGTGCGTTTGCTAAATGAAACTCTTGTCTTTCATCTGATTAATTTACATAGGTTGATGCGGAATTGCTTCAACTTGCATAATGCATGGCATATGAATGAAAATGAAAATGATAATGCCTTCAATATATTTGGAATTACTAGTTTTTACCACATTGTTGTTATTTTATGAAAATGGTTAGTATGCTCATAACTGAAAATTGTGCTTTCCTTTAATTTAGGGTCATACACAAGAAGATTGAAGGCTTAGGTGAAAACCTGTAAAGATATTAGATGCTGCTACCAATTTTATGATTTTTTTTTTTTAAATCTGTACAGTCCGACAAGGGAATGAAGTATTACTTTTTGCTAGTTTGCAAATGCTCATGATTGCTGCTATATGTGGGAAACACTGAGGATGTTGTTAAACAACTAAGGAGCAGAATGTTATATATGATGCTATTAGGACTATTATGAAACTAAAGTGACAAAGGTCGCAAAACTGGGAATAAAAACAGTCAACTTAAGAAATCTGTACTTTTGGCCGGAGCTTGACATTTGATAATGTCTTTTTGATATTTGTGTACGGTTAACATTCTGAAGCTCGTGTTACACTATTCTTTTGTTCTGTATTCTTGCCAAAGTAGTGCTTGAGTCTCGCACCTTTTAGGTTCTCACATCTATATTAAACAATAAAGTTAACTGACCATATATTTTTAGTATTACATTGGCCTATATATGTGCTTGGCTCGATGATTTCTAATCACGTGAGGAGAGCTACTTTGTCTGAAGTTGAACAGGAATTACTAGTTTATGCTATCAAACTATTGTCCTTTTGAAATGTAGATTGTAGATTTAAGTTGATTTATCATTTATGGTCTGTCTTTCTTGATGAAATGAGATTGGTAGAATGATATAAGCTTAAGCTAGGCAGAGTAGTATATATTTACAGTGTGCATGTTAATATTACATCTGAAACATTCTGAGCAATCGAAGGCAGAGCAATGAGATATCAATTTGGCTACTTTTGGAATGTTTAGTGTATAGTGTTGCAATGAATTTTATGGTAGTTTCATAATGTTTATGCCTTTGGTCTCTTCTTTTTGCAGTGTGTATAATGCGTTTTTTTTTTTTTTCATGGGTTTTATTTTTAAATGTGTGTTTGGTACTAATACGAGGGATGTAACAGGTGAAGTTGTTCTTATCTGAGGACTGCCCTTCGAAAGTTAGCCAGACATCTCAAGATCTTCTTCAAGCAAAGACATCATCTATTTTGCATTCAAGCACTAATGAATCTCATGATTTGCCTCCTGGCTTTGAAGACAATCATATTTCGAACCATCTAAGGAATGAACTCTCCCACTTATATCAGATTAAATGGAAAACTCCTCCCCTGGTAATGAGATATTAGGATTTTTCTAAAGGATGTTGATCTCTATTAATACTTCAGTTTCTAGTGATTATATCCTTTCAATTGTAACTGGAAAATGATCTGCTGTGGTATTCATTTTAGGTGTTTGCATAGTTAAATATTTTTCTTTGAAAATGTTAGCTTTATAAAGCCAGTTGGATCTGTATTCCTCGTTTACTTACTTGATTTGGTTTGTTTTCAAACCAGTTTGCCCTCTGTCAAAATTGGCTGGTTGCGGCTGGTGAAGAAAGTAGGGAGAAAGTGGATCAAAAGCTGAGAGAAATGAAGGTGCTTGAAGCAGTATATCCTCGCCCTTCAGCTATTCCTCCAAGGTAAAATGTCACAGCAAGTAAGAAATCCATTTTCTACTTGATTCTCTTTTTGTAGCTAATCTTGTTAATCTTCATTTGCTTGTAGTCCCTCTGTTTCTTTAGATGTAGAGGAGGAAGACTACGATGATAACCTCACTCCTCTTATCCCTATCGTTCCTATTGAGGAAGAAGAGCTTATGGATGTTAAACCTGAATTGCCAGCGACAATTGACACCTCCGCCACTCTTCAGACACAAAGTTTGCACCATTCCATATCAGCAACAGATAGACCCATATGTTCACAGCTTAGTACCTCATCCACTCTAGCCTCACCTGGGACATCTGGTGTGGAAGCAGATGTTGCAGCAGCTTCTGCTGTTGTTGCTGCCATCATGAATAGTAATGAGCAAGGCAGCTCAATTGACATGGATCTACTTGTTAAAATACTTAATGATCCGTTGTTGATTGAGAAGTTGAGAAGTGTTCATGATGGAGCTGCTGCAACCACTGCAAGTGCATCCGCAAATTTAGTGGGTTTACCTATTTCTGGAGTTAAGTGCACTTCTCCATCAGTTTCATCATTTCCGCTTACACCTGATAAGCCAACTTCTGGGGTTAGTCCCTCAAATATTGTGGGTTTATTTCCTGATTCTGGCTTGATGCCAGTCACTCCTTCAGTTCAATTGATGCATACAGTTGATAAGCCAGGAACCGCGACACTTCCATTTTCTAGGCCTGTGCCGGGGAAACTAGGAACTCCTTCAGCTCCATTGCCTTCGCATACAATTGCTGCTGATATTCACAAGCCTGTGAACAAAACCACTGACCATTGGTCAAGTGGGGGCCTGCCTTCTGTAAGTACCCAACGTTCTCAACAAGATACAGTTAAGCAAGCAGCACCCATGGCTTCCATTTCATCCAGAGAGCCGAGCACGGTGCCATTATCTTCAACAGGTGTGAGCATGCCTGCAGTAGTAAACCAGGTGCGATCCCCTACAACTACAATGGCTTACCGACCCAGTACAGGCCCAGCATTTGCTGGGAAGGAAGCTCATCCTGTGAAGGATCTCAGCTATTATAAGAACCTTATTCGGCAACATGGTGCTGATGATAATAATAGTAGGCAAGAGACGCATGACTCCCAAATAGCTATCCGTCAAACTAATTTCAAAGATTTGAAACCGGTTCATAACAATAAACCAGGAGAAGGGAATTACAAAACCCAGAAACCTTGCATATACTTCAAAAGTTCAAGGGGTTGTCGAAATGGTTCCAATTGTCCTTATCAACATGACGTGTCAGCTCAATGGGGTTCTGTTGACATTCTAGGCTCCAAAAATGCAAAAAGAGCTAAATTAGGACCAGAAATCCGGGGCAGAGTATTAATTTAGACAGCCTTTTCGGAATGGCGGGAGCAAGTTTGAGGAAGGTGGAAGGGGAGGACTCGTGAGAATGAGAGGGGCACACGGTGACTAAGGTTTCATGGGTGGTTTCTGTTGAGTTTGGATTTTGGGGTTATGAGGACCACTGTAGTCGGTCCCTGGTTACACGAATTTTCAACAGGGTCAGCAAAGAAGAGGGGAGTGAGAATTGATGGAATGTTCAAGACAACTGATTTTTTTTTTTTTTTTAATTTCTACAGCTAGGGCGTAGGGGTGACTTGTGCAGTTAGTCTCTTTCATGATGGTGACCAGCTGGAGTTCACTGGTGAGCGGTGGTTATCCATATAATTTATGCATCTATAAAAGGGGAAGAAAGCTAATAAGGTCGAAAGAAGATAAACGAGTTAATCAAATGAATAAATTTCAGAAAAACTTAATTTGACGGGGAGAATGATACTTGGGAACCTTGCAAACAGAATAACGAAGGCCATGGACATTGACTTGGGGGGAAAAAAATGAATTTCAGAAGTTAGAGTTGGAAATTGTGGAAATAATTCTAAACTGTCGTTATTCATTTTCCCAAGCCCCAGTTATTCACTGGGAAATTTGAAGGCTTGAGTGACAGCACTACCCTCTCAACGGTGGTGGCTAGATCTCAAGCTTAAACGTGTAATGATCCAAACTCCCAAGTGAAGATGAGGCCTAATAAGTATTGCCCTGGGAACTAATGACAGTTGTGGTATTTTTTTAATTTTAAGTAAAACATTCGGATATATGGTTACTTGGCAATGTGTCTTAACTGAGGCCTAGCTAAGAATTCTCCCGTTGGGGGGAAAAAAAAAAGAAGCCTAGCTAAGAATTCCGATGCTTTCTTCTATTATGTATTGTTTTGAAAAATGATCTTGACACTTGAATTATGAATGCTAATCTCAAGTATGCTCATGGGAATTGTATCATGTTCTCCCCCAGTTGTGTTGGTGGTTTAATTAACAACATAGGAAAAATAAATAAAATAATTGTTGGGGTTGAAATTGAAATGGGTTGAGGAGAGAAGGTAATGGCACTTTGTTCTATATTAATATTTTCACAACTCGGTGGGGCATTGAGTTGGTTGGGATACTGGTTTGAGGTTTAATGGTGAGATGATAGTAGGATTGGGTTTGATTAAATTAATATAATTTAAAATTTATGCATGAAAAATAAAAATATTTCCATCCCATACAGGTTAAATTTATAGTCAATCAAGATTACCATTACAATAAAAATATTTATTATATTTATCACAATCATTCGGTATGATGAATTAATTGTCCGGCCAAATTGGCGTAAGCTTCCATAATTAATCAGAATGATCAATAAATCATCAAGAACATATTTAACGTTAAATAAAAATTACCACAAGACAAATAAAAAATGACAGTTTTGTTTTGTTATTAAATCATGAGTTCACCTTTTAATTGACTCTGAAGTGCTTTAGACCAAACACATGGTTGGTGTCGATCTGATCAATCGAATCACCAATTCAGTATGATTCTAATCATATTGTTTTATATATAAGTTTTACACGATATGTATAAAGAGTAATGTTATGGCTTAAAACAAAAAGAAGAAGAAGAAGTCTAGTTTATTGTTGGATTTGATTTCTTAATTATTAAAATGAGATTGCTAGAAAACATCAAAAATAAGATTTTAACAAAAATTGTTCGCAAAATCATGCTTAAATCTCCAAACTAATATCCAAACATGATTCAAGATATTAGAGCATGATATTGGAATTTGCATTTTACGACTTTTGACACCATATGCAGGTTTTAGTCAAACTAAGGAGGTGAATTGTGCTCTATGAAATTTTTTGAATGCGCTATAAACTCAATAGAATAATAAAATAGAATAAGGTGAGAAATACAACTAATAATGTTAACTAGAGGGGGAAAAATCAAACATCAATAATTTGTGTTGGCCCAATCCAATCGCTTGACCATCTATCACTTCATTGTATTTTTCACCATATTCACCGATATCCATCGAATTCACCCCAATACAACAACCAGCATCGCTACTTAATTAGTTGTGAATTCCACACTCACCATTGCGCGCGTCACCGTTTTAGGGGTCCTAGACCCATGTGCTTAACGCCATTTAAGGCTACATTAGAATCACGCCATGTTATGCCAAGTTTGAACCATCAAGGCAAACAATACTCTTAACATTTAAGGTAGGGATACAGGACCAAAATGACTCTGACCTTGGTCTAATCTTTGCAACAATTTCTTATTTGTTTCAACTTCCTTATTTTTCTTCAAACTACGTCAGCTGCCCGACATGACAAAGCAGGATCACCGATGATGAGATCAGATTTACGCAACTGACTCCACAATAACGAATGTAGGAAGAACGGGCACCTATTATAGCTGACCGCATTACCAACAGACCGAAACCACGCTTGTAATTCCAAAACCTTGTTTCATTGTCGTCACTCGACATTCAAATTACAAGCATACACCTCCAAGTTTATAAATGCAGTATCAGTGTATTATCACTCAAGCGCATGGCTCAGCGAAGTTTAAAAACATCAAAAGTTAATGACAAGTAAGATGAACAAGAATCACACAAATCTTCAAATTAATGTTCTCCCAAACAAGAAATGAGCCTCTAAAAAGAACTCCGTGTTCTCAACCTGTTCTCATGATAATGTGGACTCCGCTATCAGTATCCACGATGTCACTAATCTCACCAACTTTAAGTCCATAAGTTGCTTCTTCAAAAGGTTTTTGCATCTGGCCACGACCAAAAGGACCTGCAGTCAAGAAACACACATGTAGAACTTAGTGCTAGAGACGCAATTGAGGACTTAGTTCGCTTCGCATATGAATGTGACATCGAACCATGGATCCAAGTCTTTAAGATGTTCAAACAACTTCATTTTTGAAAGCACTGTTAGATCTTAAGCACTGTCATTAGTTTTAAGCAAACTCAGGTGTGTGTATTATCTTGGTAGGCATTTGACTTTAGAATTAAACTAATGAGCCGCCATGTACTACCCATGTAACAACCAATGAGTACAGCCAATCGGCCCAAAAGCTATTGTTATCATAAATATGTAAAAGCGTGCTTGTTTTTAAGCATTATCAGCTAGCTTTAGTTCTTCCTATTTATATTTAATACAGCAACATGAGCTGGATCACTTGAGATCTGTATATCCTTGCAGAGAGGATCAGAGCTGGATCACTCATAAAAGCCGCATTGACTTTACACTTAAATCAGATATCCAAGCCATTTATAATATGCATCGAACAAATCAAGCGACATGTTAAAAGATTTAGATTCAAGACCCCAGTTGCCAGAGAAGTATTAAGTGAGAATGCCCTTGTCAGTATGAGCGGGAAAAAGAGAGGGAAGGGAGTACAAAAACCATAGAAGTGAGAATTTGAGGATATCTTTATTACGGAAAACTTAAAAATATACAAATGCTGCTATCTTAAATCTACCATCAATAAGTTCGACATATGTTCAAAAGCCATGCTAAAAAACAAATGAATATCGATAAAAATACAGATGTAACTTTAGAGTTGATAATGGATGGATGGGAAGACCAAGTTGAAACAGTACATTATAATCCATGAATTGCTAATATTCCTCCAGCGACAGAAAGAGCGCATATTAGAAAGAATATCTTTGGAAGTTTAAGTCTGATATTCTGTTAAACACCTGGAATTTTGTACGTATCAGAATACAAAGAAATTCTATCATTACAATTTAAAAATGACGCCAAAAGCGACACTCCTGGCTAAGCATTATCATAAGTAGCCACTTAACTTAACTGTATCTTTCCAGGGTTGGGGGGTAAGGACATTCGATAATAATAATAAAGAAGTTGCAACTTCGATGTCACACACCTTTTGAAAGTTCCGTTGTTTTGACATTGGTGCAGGGCAAAAAAAATAGATTAATACCTTCATTGAAGCAAATTAGCTCCTCACTTGATCCCTCGTACAATACCAAGTGGGGTAATGAGTAAGGAATGACGTGTACAACCAAGTGTTATGTTTATTAATCAACAGCAAAAATAACGGTTTATGCTGCTTCCTTCAGTTAACATTATACTGTAGTTTCAAGAGAAAAAACTCACTTTTCACTTCTCCAGTCATCGAATTTCATGAACTCAGGGACCCTAACGATTCTGTGATCCTCAATCAGGATAAGCTAATCAAACCCCAGAAGATTCTGATATAAGCCAATCGTCCTAGGGTCAGAGGATCCAAATCATGATTTGAATTTTTTATATGGATTGCTACTCTGAGCATAACATCCTCAGAAAACTTTTGATAATTACATATAAAAGATAGCAAGTCATATAACTTACAGGAAAATTCTACTTTTAGAAGAGATACAGTTTAAGCTCAAAAATTGATCGATAAGGGATACTTGATTTATATGAACTTGGAAGTAAAAAATGCAAGCATACTTCTTTAACGGCCATGACAATACCAGGTCACTCTTGATTACTAGCTGACAAATGCTTCTCTAGGGTTCATATAAAACCCCTTCAACAAAGCTATGAGGTCATAGAACCCTCGAAGATGAAAAAATAAGGTTATATTTGGATCCTCCGAACTAATCTCATTTCTTGAGACCCTGAAAGACAATAAAATTTCCTGACATGATTTTTAGATGTTAAATTTTCGGCCAAATGAATATATGACTTTAACAGCCGCCAGGAAGGTTAGCATAAATAGAAACATTCGGAAAAAAGCATGTGATCAATACCGTTAACAAGTAATTCTCTTCTCTTTGATCGAAATAAGAGCGTGCATTAAAGAAGCTAAACTATGGTAACATAACTAGTTTATTTCGCGGATCTTCATCAGAGAAGGTCCAACGCAAAAAAAAGAGAGAGAGAAATATCACTGACCAAGATCACCGCCTCGCTTGGCAGAGCTGCAATCGGAATAACGAGAAGCAACATCTTCGAACTTAGCCTTCCCGGAAAGGATGTCGTCACGGAAGGCCTTGAGCTGAGAAACCGCGGTATCTCTGGTGGTATTTTGGATAACACGGCCTTCGGGATCTTTCCAAGAAGCCTTCCGTCTAGAACCTTGGTGCTTGATCAATATGTGCGATGCCCTAACCTCACCACCCTGCCTGTTAGACGAGGACATTTTCGCAGCCTTCTTGTGCCTTTCCTTCTTCGTTCGATCCACCGCCGAGATCGAAGCTTTCTTTCTCTTCCGATCGGCCTCTATCTTCGCAGCTAGAATCCGCGGTAATTCAGATAAGGGCGAGGACTGGCGACTCAACAGGGTTTGGAGCTATACGGTTGGGAGGAAGCAAGGAGTTGCCTGCATATATAGTGGTGGCGGAGGGAGGACTCAGACTCAGAAAAAATAATAATAATAATAATTGAAAAATAAAAAAGCAAGTGGAAGAATCGGGATAGGGTCCTACGCAATCACGGGCACAAACAATAACCCGCATCTCGACCGTTCATTCAGCTCCCATCGTGCAATTCGGACTAAATCATAATTTACACAATGGGTCTTGGGAGAGTAATTTTTTGCTCAAAAATAATAAATAAATATATTATATTATAGAATACTACCTCCTATCCTTAATATAAAAGCTAATTGATTAATTTGAGTGGATTAAGAAAATTAGTTAAGTTAGTAATTTGTAATAAAAATGTATTATTTTTCATAAAATATCCTTGCTAATCAGATGTATTAGTTAGAAATACTATTATTACAAAAATCATCTTGAGAATAATGAATAAATATGAAAGACAAAATAAATTGGGATCTTACATTTATGACCAAAATAAAAGTCAAACGAACTCTTATAGACATTATAGAAGAATCCCTTCCAGGTGATTGGTAAGTAGTCGACATTATAAGTGAGGCTCTTAGAAGAAAAAAATTTAGAGAGATCTCATAAAAAAAGTATAATAGTATTATACAAAGAAGTTCTTGCAACTTTTTCTATCTCTGACTGATAACACAGTGGGATTGATAAACTAGATCAAATAGTTATATCAGCGGAATAAAACAGCTTCTAGTAGTACATAATTCTATTCCTCTCTGGGGTTAGTCCATATTGCCTATGGCCAAGTACGAATTTGCTCACAAATAAGCCTACGTGAATTCAAACTAGCTCATGGATATGTTAAGACTTACAAGGGGCACACTTGGCCTTGCGCTTGGGCAACCTTGGGTGATGTTGTTGGAGTTTTAGTGTGTGAGTGTGTCAAAAGAAGTTTTATATTACTTAAAATTGAGAAAATCTTAGTGTTTATTAAAATGTGAGCTTGATATAATAAAATAACTGAGAAGAGGAGTATTTAGAACTGACCGTTAGAGATGACTATTAAAGTATTTATGTGTTTTTATTGGTCAGTTTTATTCTTTCATTAACCAGATTTAATGGCTTTAAAATGATTTAATTCACCTTAATTAATTATTTAAAACCGCTCTTTTAATTGACATTAAAATCATACTTAATTAGCATTATGGCAGCCCAATGGTCACATATTATCTGCCTATAAAAGGCAATGTGCGGTGTATGATCAGTAAGGGTCGAGTTCTATCCCCGAGCCCTCCTCTCTCTCTTTTCTCCTGAGTTTTAAATTTCTACTATTCTGTCATCTTGCTCCACGCAAGAAGAGTTCGTTTAATCCTGGGGAGTGCCGCCTTTTATTCTAATTTGTATGACGGAATAACTCTTAAGGACAGTATTCTTAAACACGACTCGAACCATATTTTTATTATTTTGCAGGTGTTATCAAGAGATGTTCTTAGAGAGAATCCTTTTGAGCATTGATAAAGGTTTGTTGAATCCTCCTTTTGGTTTTTTTTTGTTGCCCTGAATCCTTCTTTCGGTTTAAACATTGATAACTTAAAAATATTGCACCCATGGCTTGTGATATCAATTGTCTTTTGAGAAAAACTTTCACGGATAATTTCCCAAGCTCCAGAGACTACTTGGATGGAAGTGAAATTATGATTTTAAAAATACTTTTATGATATAAAAAGTTTATCTCATTTTATAGAAAAATACTTTTTAAAAGTATTTTTCTATGTTGACAAACACTCATCTAGTACAGTCATTTCACAAACATGAATGTCGGTCAGATGTTATTATAAGATGACGTGGCAGGATATTTGGATCTTCTAAAAAACTTGCGCGAATGGTTAACGAATATAAAATCACTAATATATTTAATTAATTAAATTAATAAACCATTTAATAATTAATAATGTTCATTTCTGACTTTCTTATATTTCAAAATTAATGATTTCATTTTTCATTCTTTTAAATTCTTAAAATTATTTTTATACTAAAATAATATGCAATTAATAAACAATATGTCAATATATGAGCGTACCATTTTCTTTTCTTCTTTTTTTTTGCTGACGAGTGTATCATTATTCGATACATATAATTTATATTTATAATAAGTTATGAATAATCTGATTAGTTTTTAAAATTTAACAAACTAACTGAATAATAATTTCTAGTTCGTAAGCCGCATTGGTAATGATTAATTAAGCCCCAGCAGTCAGCCTTCTATCCAACTAGGTGAAATTTTGAATATTACAACTGCTATGATCAAGAAACAAGTTTTGCAGGTTTAATTTTCACTCTTGAACGAGATATTTATTTGTATTTCAACTCTTCAAATGACCACACCACCCCTCCATCAAGAAGAACAATGCTCGAGTGTAGATGACGATATTGAAAATGTTCAATATGTCCCATGCCCATACGAACACAATCCCTTCTTAATGGAAGACCTAATTGAAAAATCAATTTTAATTTTAAATCTAAGACATTTTTCATATTTATCATTTTTTACAGAACACGTGGAGAAATAAACTACATAAATTTAGAGTTTGCATTGATCTATACATGACATAATTTATAATCTATAAATGACAAGACCTGATGTTTTTCTCCAAAAAATCTTATATAAGAATACGTTTCTGTGTAACCCAAAAGAGACAACAGTATCAAGAAAAAGTACAAGGCAGAATGATAAAACTGCACAGCCAGATGATCTGGTTTTTCCTCTAATGTGTAATTCTGATTTTTTCTAACAACCAGAGTGCGTAATCTAAGCACGCAATTGATTCATGAAAACAAGAGGTTCTTCCCCAGATGCCAACTAGAATTCCCTCAAAAGGGGCCAACCCTTTTTCACAATCTCATTGATCTTTGCATCAATTTGTTTCTGGAGTTTTGGAGGGCAAAGCTCCGCCACATACCCATTCAATTTTGTTGCCATACTTGACCTGTCAAGTTCCTCTTCAGGCAGATTACCAATTAGCTGAAGAAGGAAGGGGTTCTGCTTGAGTTCAAATTTCTGCATATTTAAGATGAAGAACGTCAGGCAGCGATTACGAGGGAATAAATACATGCTTATTACCAATCTTCTCTCAGCTACAAAAATAAAGCTTCATTACGCTTGTTTGTGTGTGTGTAGGAGGATAAACCCAAACAATTATTGCATACAAGTAACCATATTATAGTACAGCAGTATAGCTCTTCAAAAAAGAAAAATGAGCATTAGCAGATAATAATCCTAGTGGTCCTACTCTTGAAATAGATGAGCCAAACCGGCAGCAGCTTACAGGTCTCGGACTCATGAACAGGTTCTGGAGTGCAACTAAAATTTGCTCAAGCATTAACAGATGAGAAAAGTGAACAGTCGAAGGAGCAAACATCTTTCTAGGTAACATCAATATAGTATCACAAACCTGATGCTCAGGTTCCGCAAGATAAAATTCTCCGAGTTCCTGAATTTGGGTGGTCACAATGCTGCTTCTTGACCTGGTTTGTTCATTCTCTTTGCTGATGCTAGCCAGTCTTGATTCTTCAGTTCCATTAGTAAAAATAACAGATCTGATATGGTTCAGTGATTTGCATGAGGTTCAAATGAAGGAAGACCATAGGAAATTGATGCCAGCATCATGATTCGTACCTGTACTGATTACCCACGTCAGGACCTTGGCCAAATACTTGCCTGGGATCATGACTTGACCAGAACACATTCAAAAGCTCCTTATAACTAATCAGCCTGGGGTCATACTCAATCTGCATCATCATATTAACCCATAATGGTAAAGTTAATAAAATCATTCAAGTTGATGCCAACAAAGTAAGGGCAGCGATTATATTTTGTTCATGTACATATCATGGGACGTTTTCAATATATCTGAATACAAAATGCACTGTCCAACGATTACAATACCTATGAACGTGATTCCAAATGATCAGAGTGTTAGTCATCCAAAAGTGAACTGTTAATCATCTGTTAATTTTGTCAAAAACTTTAAAACGTTAGGGCCAATACGTTTCTTTGTGCTGAGAACAGTGGTAATTGCCATTCCATTCACTGTTACATAAAAGCCGAGAGATCCATATGAATAGGACTGTGTGATCGTGCATCAATTTTATCGGGTGCTAACAAAGACACATCAGCCTCTAAATTAACAGAAACTGATTGCTGTATCTGATTTTTTTTCGGTAGATACTTTATACGGGAGAAATTGAACAATAAAAGATAGGAAGCAAACTTATTGGTTGAATTGCGACAGTCAAACAAGGGGAAATTTCTCAGGAAACAGGACCAGACAAAGTTTCATTTAGCTTAGCTATGACCCATTTATTTCCTCGGCGCCAAGAAACAGAAGAAGAAACATGAGATGCTTAAAGGATCGTTTGAGAAAGTGGAAATACCTGAACGGCTTCGGCGTGGTCACCCAGGTTTCTATATTCAGGACTTCTCTTGGATCCGCCAGCATATCCAGCCCTAGTCCGGATGACGCCAGGCAAGCACCCGAAGACGGCCTCGGATCTCCAGAAGCTTCCCATAGCGAAAACCGCGATCTTCAAGTGTTGTTCTTGGTCTGGCAAGTCCTTGTTGAATTCAGGGCCCCGATCCGGAGTTCTGATGCACAGAGCCTTGTTAACGATTAACCCGATGATAACCGCACAGATTAAGTGGCAAGGGACACAAGCATTTTTCTTTGAAACAGCCATTGTATTGAAGCGATAAAGCTATGCGGGTATGCGGAGACGAAGGATAATTCAGAATCACAAGGGTTTAGCACTGGAAATCACAGGGTGCTCCACATTCAGGCGAGGGAGAAATATCAGCTGTCGTTTTAGAGGTGGACTATGCGAACATCCTCCCAGCAGCTTGTCGTTTTGACGGTCCTTCTCTACTGTTATTGTAGCCTCACCGACGACTCATATAAGGTTAGCGTTTCTGCTCTTAACAATGACCGGTAATATATCCTTCGTTTGCTTTGTGCTTATTGGGAGGCTTTTCTTTCCGCCGATGCTGCCGTTTCGCCTAGATGTAAACGATAGAATATAAGTAGAACCCACAAGATGATAATGATTTTCTAACGATGAGGGGGAGTTTGTTTAAAATTATTGTCTCCACTCTAACAACTAACTAAATCAGTTCAATCAAAAAATTAGTTAAAAAATTAATTAAAAAATTATGTAAGAGACATGATTTTTTAATGAATACAGAAAGGAATGAATGAGAAAAAAGAAAAAAAGAAAATGCGAGAAAAAAAAACGAAAAAAGCATATTAAAAATATATTAAAATTTTAAACATACACAGTGTTACTTATATACTACAAGCCATATATAAGAAAATGTTAACTTATACAGATCGGAAAGAGAGAGAAAAAAGAGTTTTCCGTTTGAGGACAGAGAGATGGGAGAGGAGGGGGGGGGGGGAGTTTTTTTTTAAAAAAAAAACATGGAGACATGTTAGGGAGGGTGAACCACCAATTTTCCATTCAAGGATGAAAATGGAATTCTGAGAAGAATTGGGGAAATGAGAAAAATGAGAATATCTTCCTAGTTCCTACTCTTTACCTCAAGATGTTCCCCAAGTTTTCTTTACTGCCCTCATTCCTCCAACTACATTCACTTTTAGAAAACAAATTAAATGAACTGACCCTAAATTTAACTGCGTTATAATTTAAAACAAAAACTTGTAAAAAAATTGAATTTAATTCAAAGATCCTTTTCTTGGTTTTGGTCCACACCCTTCCCTTTTTCCACCCTTTTTTGTATTGGTTTGGTTATCGGGCAAATTACCTGTTGATGAGTCATCTTTGTAACTCTCTCTGTCTCTCATAAAAAGACAACTATATTAAAAGAACATTTAAAGTACAATATTCATAGTCTACCGAAGAAATTAGGATCATTAATACAAAAGTAAACGTTGGAGAAGGATTTAAACATGCAAAGAATAGCAGACCAAACAGCATTGGGGAACACTGTTGTCGCAGTTCTGCTCTGCAGGAAAGATTTAGCGTAAATGACCATTAGGTTGTGATGAGGTTGCCATTCATTGCACTTGAATATCCAACAGATCAAGAATCGTAGTGAAGATGCGTAGAAAATATTTTCCCTTTAAACAGAGAAATTTATTCCACTGGATCTACTCTACTTTGATGGTTGTCCCCCTCTCAACTTTTCAATGAACTGATAAAGTACTTCCTCCAGTCATTTTTACATGCCTTTAATGATTTCTTTCCTAAACTTGAGAAAATTGACTTTAATTAGATAAATATGAAAAAATTTACAGCTATTTAAAATCACTGTTACATTTAATCGTGGGGAAAGACAAAGGCATTTAAGAAACTGTATCATCGATGTTTTATTAAATGGAACGCGATACTTGAAATGTGGAGCTGGAGCATACGAACCAAGACATTGATCCCAATGAAACCAGGTCAGGTGCCTTAACGCAGGAACAAACGCAAAGTAGCTACCAATAAATTGTCCAAAACTATCGGCCTTGGAAGGAACAATTTAGCACCCAACCAACCTCAGTTCCAAAATCATTCACAAGAACAAGGGTCTGCGCAACTACAACACCCAGACAACAACTTGGTCCAACACTTGAAATCTTAAACCACAGAATCACAGATCATCAGTTTCCAACAATGCATGTCTTCCTACTTGACAATTAAAACTCGTTCCCAAAGGGCGACCATCAGTGTCTGAGGCTCTAACCCTTGAATTGAATAACCACAAATGACACTATAAGATTATTGTTACTAGCAAAAGAGATAAACTGCTTAATTGCATTGCATATTAAACAAATATATCAGGCTGTCTAATCAAAACTGCATATATGAGGGAAAACACGTTCTCCAAACAGCGACCAAAAGTTGGCAGACAGACTATCAAAGAGGCAAGATATAAAAAACAAGCAAATAAACACCAATCTACGACTCTCCTCAAGCGCTTTTATCAGCTTTAGCAGCAGTTGCGGCAGCTTGCCCCCTAAGACGACCGGTTCTCTTGGCAGCAATGAGACCGACCTTCTGGCCAGGAGGAGCATCACGCCTGACAGTACTTGCATGACCAATGTGTTGGTGATTACCTCCTCCATGAGGATGCTCCACGGGGTTCATAGCCACACCACGAACCTTAGGCCAGCAATTTCTCTTCACCCTGAACTTGTGGTAAGCATTACCGGCTTTAAGAAGGGGCTTTTCTGTTCTCCCTCCGCCTGCCACCTGCCCAATCATGGCACGGCAGCCACTGGGAACAATCTTCTTTGCACCAGATGGAAGCTTGATCCTGTTATAAGACACCGGTAAATTATATTGTCATGGTTCTCACCAGAAAAATGTTTATTTCACAATAATGAAAATACTGAATAAATGGCCTAAACTTTAGACAACAAACTCAATTCCGATCCCTTAATTGCCAGTGAATACTAATAGTGCATACAATCAAACTAAGCCAAAGAAATGAAACATTTGGATAAGTACTCCGCAATTCCATTTCAAACTTTCAACAAGGCACAGCTAGACACTCGTAGCAGCAATGTAGATCATTGTGTTTTTAATAAGCCATTGCGGGATAAATAGTCATTTTATTGGTTAAATCCAAATTTCCACAAGATCCATATTTGTGCTCATCCTTGATGAAATATGAACCATCCACTATTTAGTTTCGATCCACATTAGAGTTTAAATATACAATGTCCAATTTCATAATCGCTGATTAAAATTTTATATACAGACTAATAAATACTCATTTCATGGAACCGAATCACCATCAAACAGCGATTCAACATTTATGAAACATTAATCGCGGCAGCAAAATGAAAAAAAGGGAGCAGACGGGATACCTAGAAGTGTCATTATCTGGGTTGTGGCTGATAACAATGGCATAATCGCCAGAACACCTAGCAAACACGCCGCGGTCACCGACGTGGTGCTCGACGTTGCAAATAACAGCTCCTTCGGGGATGGATCTGATCGGCAACACGTTACCAACGACAAGGGAGGCTTTCTTGCCGCAGTAAACGAACTGGCCAGTGTACATACCCTCCGCAGCAACAAAGAGCTCCGTCTGCTTCTTATACCTGAAGGGGTGGCGGAATGTAACCTTGGCGAGAGGAGCTCCACGACCAGGGTCGTGAATGACATCGGTGACCACACCTTTCAGATACCCATTTCGCTCGCCGAAGTCGAGGCTTCTGAACCTCGCAGCACCCTTGCGGTGGTGCGTGTGAGACTTGAAAACGGAACCAGCACCCTTCCTCTGAGCACGGATGACCCGCCCCATGGCGTCTCTCCTTGAACGAACGCGAAGGCAAAAGGGTGGGGGAACTAGACAGCTAGGGTTTTTTTCAGCAGGGTTATATAGAAAACACCTTCTTAACCTAGCTTCTTGTGTTTTGTGGGCTGAGGACTCCTGACATGGTTTTTCGTTGTAAGACAAGCCCAATTGTATGGCCTTTAAAAAAGACCAGCCCAAGAATGTTTTGATGACGGCAACATGAAAGCCTTATCTTACCGGAACGAACATGTAATCTTTTCTCATCTCTGGTCGACTGGCCCAACTATATATAGAGTAGGCCTTCGGCTGAAACCTCTGTTTTGCAGTTTGAGACACCAAGAACATTTAAGGTTTAAAAATAATTTTATGATATACGAAATAAGTATGTGAGAGAAGTTTTGTTTAGATATTTATAGAAATATTTTTCTGAAAAATGCTTTTCCATTCATCCAAACACCCCTAAATGGCAATTGCAAAACAAAAAAACTCATAAATTTCTTTAACGATAATTGGCTTTTCTCAAATCAAAAAATAAAAGATGTGTGTGAAGGAGATTTCCGCAGAGGAGAATAGAAGCTCTGTTATGGATTGGACTCTAAATGGAGGTTGCGACTTTCAAAGGCTGGAAAAGACTATGAACAACGATGTTATTCAGCAACTCACTAGTCTCTTGCCTCCTTTGAAAGAAGCTGGAAATGATATTATGGTCTAGAATGCTGCATGTGACGGGCACTCTAGCATTAGAAGTGCTCATTTTTAGATTAAAGAAAATCCTATCTCATTTTATAGTCCTGTTTACAAGCGTATCTGGAAGTGGAAAGGGGCAGAGAGGATCCGGGTGTTTCTTTTGCAGGCCTCTAATGATAGGCTCCTCGCAGATGTTTGGTGGAGCAACTGGTCTCAAGTATCACATTTGCGTGCTTATTGTAATACTGAACCGGAATCTCTTTTGCACATCCTAAAATACTCTAATTATGCGAAGTCCATGTGGCTACATCTTCTACATCCAAGGTACACATTCTGCTTCTTTTATTGTTCTCTCAAAGATTGGATTGCTGCTAATCTGACTCATGATTTTGGTAAAAATGGAATTGATGATTGGGAATGATTATGGGGTGTGGTTGTTTGGAAACTATGGAGGAGGAATGAGGCTACTTTTATCGAAAACTATGAAAAGCCTTGCGACCCAGCAAATGTTCTTTTGAATGTATGGCAGAATAATACTATGCAGCGAGATTATAATCTTTCTGGAAAACATGGCAAAGACAGGATGAACTTGCAATAGACTCCCCCCACGATTTGGCTAGTATAAAATCAATGTTGATTGTGGTATGGCAAAATAAGGGCTGGTTGTGGAGGGATGATACGGAATTCTAGTGGTGGCTAGATTTTTGGCTTTACTTATAACATCGGGAATTGCAATGCTTCTGAGGTTGAGGAATGGGCCATTTATAAGGGTCTAAATTTTGTTGGCAATTGGGTTTAGACTATGATCGAGTCAGAATGCTAAGAATGTCATTGATTTAGTGTTGAAAGAAAATCCAGGCAAAACAGCTAGTTTGATGATCAAACAGAGCATTCTCAATTACAGCTGGGATGTAAAGTTTCAAAGGACTCCTTGAGACTGTAACAGAGTTGCAGACACACTGGCAAAGAAAGGGGTAACAAGGTCCTTATCTTTTGATGTTTGCCCATCTGATCTTTGAGTAATT